TGGTGGACTAACTCGTTTCACAAAAGGAGCCTGTCGTACCGCGCAAAAGCCCAACCCAACTTTGTGGAACGGGCCCCACTTCTTTGTCACCGCACTTGCAGGGTCCCGCTGCCACCTCAGGTGCTGCGCTCGCAGCCGAGGCGGCCGCCACCCGCCGTGACGGCGATCTCGTGCAGGCGCCGCCCAAATTCGTTGAGCTTGATTCAACATTCCACTGCCGGTTAGGAAGCCTCACGTATTTCCCTATACCCTATAGCTCCGCTATTCACCCCACCATGCTACACCTCAACGGCTAAACCGCTGGACGCCCTTGCTTGCTCGCCGGCCTCTCTGCTCCTCGCTCGATTCATTTGAGATCCTCCTTTTCCTTCGAGGTAATAATCCTTGTCGCCTGCTTTCCGCTAATTTTAGCTTTGCAGAATCTCGGAGTATAAATTATGGTCAAACCCGCGTCCATCCATTCACATTTTGCAAATATATCATACAGTAGCTGGGATGCTATAAAAATGACATGATTGGCCACCTTATATAGGACTCTCCTGTGGAGTTCTCCATCTAGTGCTGAATTACTGACTCAACGAGTCACTGATTATGCAAGCAGTGTATGTTGCTTTTCCCTGAGTGCTGCACTGGGGAAAAGGAAGACTGCATTACAGAATAAGAATTAAGAAGGCTGGACAAATCAGTGCAAGAACAGAATAATGAAAGGAAAAGACGATTTGTCTTTGAACTATTAAATTACAACTCAAGTCCAATCTGATGCGCTGAAAATAACTGTAGACTCTTATTCATAAGCCTAGTCCTGATACAGTGGGAAGATTGAAAACCATATTATGCTAGTACTATGCATTACTGTGAAGCCCTTGAGTAACTAGATTTTTCTCTCAATTATTCATTAAAAGTAATGGTAGCGTAGTAGCTCAATGTTTTATGGCACCTCGTGACTTTCAGATGAGACAAAAGGCTTTGGGGGCATCTGTAGATTCTCCAATCTTCCTGTTAGCATGTTTACAACCCTTGTCATTGACGGTCGGTTTCTTGGGTTCCATTGAATGCACCATAGTGCCATGATGGCCAGCTGTCTCACCTTTTCATTCTCTTCTCCTGTTGTTTCCCTACCAAGTATCAAGTCCTGCCCAATGATTACGCTCTCAAAGATCCATTCTGGAAGGTAGACCTCATTTTGGCCGTCAACACTTGGGTCTGAGTTCCTCCTTCCACTTATCATTTATAAAACCAGCATGCCAAAACTGTAAACATCCGACTTGTAGGATACCCCACCAAAATTCCGAGAGTATAGCTCTGGTGCAATATATCCCATAGTGCCCCTTGCTGCTATCAAGGTAGCGATGCTTTGATCTCTTGCACACTGTTTTGCTAGGCCAAAGTCTGAGATCTTTGGATTAAAATTGTAGTCTAGCAAGATGTTGTGAGGCTTGATGTCAAAGTGGAGGATGCGTTTATTGCATCCTTGATGTAGGTATTCCATTCCTCGGGCAATACCTAAAGCAATATCTACCATTTTCTTTGGCACTAGTAGTTCCTGGTAAATATTAGAATCATGTGAGAATATATATTTTTCCAGTGACTCATTAGGCATGTATTCATAAATAAGGGCACGCCTTGTTCCTTCAGAGCAAAAACCCAGGAGACGCACAATATTTGCATGGTGGATTAGTCCTATGGTTGCAACTTCATCGATGAATTCTTCTCCCTCTCCTGTAGAGTTCTCTGACATTTTGACTGCCACTGGCACTCCATTTGGTAGCTCTCCTTTGTATACACTCCCAAATCCACCCTGGCCTACTTTTTCCTTAAATCGCTTTGTTATCTTTTTGACTTCAGCGAAACTATACCTTGTGGGTTTTGAGGTGCCATATGTCTCGAGAAACATTTCGACCTTCAAGTGTATCTCCTCATTATATATATCTTGTCTTAAGTGAAAGATAGAGTCCAATGGCCACCGTCAACAAAAGGCCACCGATGATGTAGCTGGCAAGCAGAGAACAGGAAATCAATATACTGTCTGGATAAGAAGGCACCACTTGGTGTTGTTAATGGGTATGAGATATTGTTAAGAGCCATAGTCGAGAAAGATGAGAATTTGTGTGTAATAGATATCCTTTTTTCATTTTGGATACAAGGAATGTTTGATTAGCAGCAGTACCTGCAATTACTTTGACGTCTGAACCTGCAAACACCAAAGAAGAAAATAAGTCTCTATTGATGGTTTAGTATGAAATGGTGATTTGTTGAGAAAGAAAAGGTAAGATTCAATATTTAGTACAATTAGCTGCATGATGTGACCCCGCCCCCAGCGTGTACAATAAAAGTTCTACTAAGAATGACTATACTGTATTTGCATGAATATAATGTAAAAGAGTAATGCTCCTTACATATTTTTAAGCATGTTTGATCACAAGCAAGGTTCCTTAAGAGAAAATGCAAATATCAGAGGCAAGTTTGTGGTGCCATCTCTGGTGATTAACCAGGCTATAGTCCCTACTCCCTACTAGTGTGTCCTTTTGCCCCAGTCAACTGTACGCTGCAGTCTCTGAGTCCCAATCTCTCAGAACTACCTGATTTTCTACTGATAACCAATTCCACATTAGTTCTGTATTCATTCGCTTTATGCAGTGTTTGTTCTCTTTCTGCTCTAATCCCTTTCATTGCCCACTCATAGGTGGTTTTTATCTTGCAAGCATACCACTTTGTACTCTCTTTGTATTCACTTTCAGCAGTACTGTACATCATTTTGTTTCCTGTTTTCACTTCTTAAGTGTTTTCGTCTATTTTCTTGCTTCAGACAAATTAAGCTACAAATTTATTTCCCTTTTTCAAGAGCACACATCATTGACATTTGCAGCTACTTTGGTTGCAGGCTCTACTAATGCTATTATAGCATATACGGACAAGGAAGGGTTTCTTGCTAGGACCTAGGATGATGCTATCTTAACAATCTCAATGTCAAGATGGTAAAGAAAAGCTGATAGACCTTTAATCCTAGCTCAGTTGCCGAGTAACTTGTGTTTGTTTTTTTTGAAACTTCAAGTAACTTGTGTTCTGAGTCCCAGCCTAAATAAATTCCATTTATCTGGTAATCTCTAAACTAAATATGTTACATTGTAGGAATTTCTTTGCTTTTAATTTTTGTGATCCTTACGAAAATGCTCAGTTGTAGTCCAGTAAATTTTCCATGTAAAAGTTTTGGTCACCAATTGCTTAAATTAAGGTGATGATGCGAATTGCCATATCCTCTATCAAGTGATCATCTGTATTTGAAACTGCATTACAATAATTATCACATAGAAATTCTTAACAATAGTGTTATGTATTTATTTTACCTTTGGCTTTACCAATTTAGCTCCTAATTTGTCAACCTTTTCCCTTAATTAGTTGAAGCATCATTTTATGGGTATTTTTGGTTGTAGTGCCCAACTTTCTATATGTGCTTAGGGCTGGGCTGTTCAAATGTTTCAAAAAATGGGTCTGACTGCTGCTATATCAAGTGGATGTTTATAATTTATCTCTTTTGTGATATTGATAATATTGGTCGGCCTTAGTTTCATTGGGTGAGGCTTCCCAACAAAATGAGCTGCAGTACTACTTTGCAAAATAAGCTGACAATTATCTACGAAATTCAAAGAATCGCATAGTAGCATCTGAGTAGACAAAAATAAATAATGTAAGGACTTGTAATGTAAGATATGATAGCATCTGAGTAGACATAATCGCATAAGGACTCGTAGTGGCTGTATGGTTTTGCCCAGTTAGAGATAATACCGTGATTGATGCAGAAGGTTTGATTCCTGTGTGGGCTGAACCCCCAGTGTCTCCCACCTTGCACACAAACTGTGCAGTTCTCTTCGATGCTGTCATCACCTCTATAATAATAATACAAATAACTGAATGTTGTGGACCATGAGAAATCGAGTATTGTTTTGGCTTGATCCTGGAACGTTGAACCGTCATTGCGAGTGTGTATCGGAAAGTGGCTATCAGGCACAACCTTGCAATCTAGTGGAAGCATAGACATGGATGCAGAACCATCCACCAAATAGGAGAACTGGGACATGCTGCTAAGGCACGAGATCGGGCCAAATATGTAATTAGCAGCAAGATTACTTGGTGTGAACTCTTTTAAGCAGCTAACTATCGTTGCATATTCAAGAAGGCATAGCAGTGAGGGACACGGGTCCTCACATTTGATAATCTGCGAGGTAGGGACATGGACTTGAGCTTCTGCTTGCAGGAGGGAGACGAGTCATCCACACGTGGGGCGATCGTCAGGGCGCCACTCTTGTAATCTATGGTGGTCACTTTGTATGATATAATGGCTGGTGGGAAAACCAGAATGGTGTCGTCGCCATAGCATGCTAGCTTCATGTATTGCTGGATTCGAGCTTGAAAGGGTACCTGATCTCCGGACCATGTTCACTGCACCGAGATGGCGGGCAGTTGCTGAAGAAGTCCGCATCATCCCACCCTGTGGCCTTGTACACTCCATCTATGAGGAGACACAACAGCAGGGCTATGACAAGAAATTCAGTCATCTCTTTTTTTTTTGGACAAGACACAGCAGCAAATGCAGAGCTATGATAAGAACTCCATTCATGCTTCTGTATCATTAGTAACTGAGAGAAGGAAGAAGATGGCCTAAGTTTCCATGAAACTTCCTGCTGAGTCAACGCTGCTGAGTCAACGCTCCATCTTTGAGAAGACACAGCAGCAGAGCTACGATAAGAAATCCACTCATGCTTCTGTATCAATACTTCAATAGTAACTGAGAGAAGGAAAAGGAAGAAGAGGTTGAGGAGGTGGAAGTAAATAAGAGATGGCCTAAGTTTCCATGAAACTTCCCTCTGTGGTCAAGTAAACTTAGTCAACGCTGCTAAAAAATCATATCGGGCCTGCAGCGCTTAAATAAAACTAACGCGTCCGTTCTCGGCTTGTCCAATATCAACACTCCTAGCTAGCATTCCTGCATCTAGAAATCTCTCATGGCGAACCCATGTGCATTTCTTCATCCTTCTGCTACCTGGCAAGCTTTACTTGTCATTATTTCTGTGACTGCTGTTCGTGCTGCAGTTTCTGGGGGCCAAGGTCAGTGTCCTCATTTCTCCTGTGGTGATCTCCACAACATCTCATCCCCTTTCCATAGGCAAGGCGACCCACCTGAATACGAGCTGGCCTGTAGCATACGAGCTGGCCTGTAGCAGCAGCAAGGCTACCATTCACATTAATACGGGGACATATTTTGTGAGTAACATCAGCTATACCGATCAGTCCTTCTGGGCTGTGGACGCCAACTTGGACATGCACAGTAGTTGCCCTCTTCCTCGCTGGGATCAGTTTCCTTACTATGGTTATGATGGGTCTTACACGGACAGCAGTTTGCTTTTCCATTATGATTTGGTCACTCAAGCCCCTTATTGGGCATGCTTTATTAATTGTTCGCAAGTAGTAGTGAAAAATAGTTGGTACAAGCCCGTTAATTGCCTGAGTGCGAACAATTCCTTTGTTTATGTCATGACTAACGATGATCACTATGGTTGTAATGTCAGCTCTCTTGAACCTTCTTGTGGATACTTGGCCATGATCCCCTTTGGTAGCACATACCGAGAGTTAGAGAATGCCAGTTATAAAGATATCATAAAATTGGTAACGAAGGGGTTTTCTGTTTGATTTCCTTGGGATGATTATTTAGGCCACAATGCTTCTTGGATACTCAAAACATGCCGAAATAACTCATCCAGGTGAGTCTGTGCTCTGCATTGAGTATGAAACCAATTATCTGACATGCTTCTTTGGAATTTATTTATTATCAGATAATTATCCACAACTGTATGCTTCCTTCTTTAATCCTTTATTCACAACAGTGTCTTGCAGCTACTTCCATGACCAATTATCTAGCACAAGCATCCTGAAATGGACTCGTGCTTTCTTCTGGAGTGAATCACATTTCGCACATTGTGTATACTCTTACTATTCCCCAAATCCTATGTTCCAGAGGGTTGTCATAGCCATAGTATCTGCTATAAGCGTGGACAAGTTACATTTTGGTACGTGGAGCGTGCCTACTTCTTTCTAATCATCATTGGCTACAGTTTTTAGTAACCTACTTATGTTGTCTAACTTTATATATATTTGCAACTTGTTTGGGTAGTATTATGCAAGCTTGTACTCCCTGCACTGGTAGTATTCATATTCCTTGCCCACAAGTATTGGAAAACAAGGATAACCATTGATGCAGTAGAGAAGTTTCTCCAGATGCAACAAATGCTTGGTCCCACTAGGTTTGCCTACACGGACATCACCGCGGTCACTAGCCATTTCAGAGACAAGTTGGGTCAGGGAACTATTGGGTACATAGCTCCTGAAATGGTATCTCGTAGCTTTGGTGCCATATCAATCAAATCCGATGTTTATAGCTTTGGTATGCTACTGCTGGAGATGGCAGGAGGGCGAAGGAACGCAGACCAAAATGCAGCCAACTCAAGTCAAGCATACTACCCGGCCTGGGTCTATGATCGTCTAGCCGCACAAGAATTTGGTGAGATATCTATTGTGTCCGACATGCATGAGTTGGAAAGGAAACTGTGCATTGTTGGGCTACGGTGCATTCAGATGAAGCTGCAAGATCGTCCAATGATGAGTGAGGTTATAGAGATGCTTGAGTGTGGCACTGATGGCCTCCATATGCCTTCTAGGCCATTCTTCTGCTATGATCATATTGTCGATACAGATTCCCACCATTTCTCCTCAGAGCTCAATGCAATTGAGGAAGATGATTGAATTGTTTACATATCTGTGCTCGGGTAGTAGATAAGGTGAGCAGAGCATTTGCTTGTGAAACCTGAAATAGGCTGTTATGTGTGTTAATCATTTTCATGATGTCCAATCAGTTTTATGGTACACAGTTTTCTGATTCCTGTAAATGTTTGTGAGAAAACATGTATAACTTAAGATGGAGATTGGCAACTGTTATAGTTATGCTGGGATATAATAATTTTCCTGAAAGCAAGATGCCAAGACATGCATTTCTGGACTGCTAATACTGCAAATGCACTGTGAACCAGCAACACAGTGTAGGAGCACTGTTGGTGCATGGCTGAATTATGAACATGAGAGCTTCATCCATGCCATGGAGACCGGAGAGGTGTCCAAGCCATATTTGATTCTTATGGTAAAGCTTGAATGTATCTTTTTGCGGTTGACTTCGATCAATGTTGGACTGAGCCAGTAAATTGTCGTCCTCGTACCAACTAGATCCACAGAAATATAATATAAATAGAAGTAATGTTACTAAAAGGATACATGATTAGATCTTAAATGGTCAGCCAGAGTTACTTCATTTTCCTATTCATGCATGTTATGTTCTGAGTTCTGACACTTAAACCAGCTGCAACTCAGTCTGTCAGTCCGGGCACTTGCTTGTTCTGCTGGGCAGGAGTTTTATGGGCGTTAGTGGAAAACTAGAAACAAGATGGTGGAGAACAAGCTGGTGGGAGAAGGTGACAGTGGAAGGTGGCGCTCAAGGAGAAGGAATCAAACAGGTGGATAGGATCCTAACGGTATTGGGACAGTTAGCTGTGGTCCCTTTTGAGATGTTAGTTACTCTACTTTGTTTCCACTGCGGTGGATGGGTGTGCTTCGTAGAGGACTAGAGATTGCTTTTAAGGAGACTTTGCTTTTAATCTGGTTGAGGTAGGAGTCGAGTCCACAAGGCCGGTGCCGTTTTGCTTCATTGTGAGAAGCCATAAACTCCAGTACTATGTTATAACCTTTCGATAGAAGTCTTTGTCTAATGAAAAAATACCGTGATTACCTGGGCAAAAGTCTTCATTCCACTTGTAATTGGAAGAACTGTACCACTAAATAAAAACGACTGATTGTTACGAGGAATCACATCGGACAGAATGGTGACAATGCAAAATTTCAGTCCACCAACAATAAGACTGAGTTAATTAATTATTGGTGGCACTGCTGTTAATTTTTCTATGTAGTTCATGTATGGACACAAACCTAGCAAATACAACTCAGATTCTTTGGTAGGCAAATGCAAATCCGTTGTCAGATTTTCTAATCAGTCTGAATTCTTCGGCCGGCACACCTGCAATCTTTGATGTGCTCTGCAAGGACTGGATCTTTCTTTGTTACTGGGCTGGCTCATTTTTAGCCCAAGCGGCCAAGCCCAATCCACTTTGGTAGAGCGGGAGCCCCAATGCCCACATCGTCTACCCACCGACTGGTGCTCAGGCAGCGGCCGCCGTCGAGCAGCGATCTCATCATGCAGTCAACCAATGCTGAAACTCACCAAGCTTTCAATAGGAAATTTCATGTACTTCTTGCATGGTTGCGCCTTTGTCGCCTCCATGCCATTCTACACCGTGATGCCCTAGCTCGCTCACCGGTCTCTTTGCTCCTGCAACGGACGCTAGCGGCAGCTTAGTGATTCGAGATCTAGAATCCTCCATGGCAATGGCAAAGGTAACGAGTTACTATTACCTTTTTCCTTTTGTCTTGTTATTGCTTTGCAAAATCTCAAGTAATAGATGTCCTCAGACCCATGCCCACCCATGACCCATCCATTAGCATCGTAGATCATTAGGAATTTTTGTCCAGCTTATTTTGAATTTTTATCTCAACTTATTTTGATTTTTTGTCTCATTGAGTTGGAAAAAGAATATGTACTACAGAAAGGGCAGAATAGGATGGAACTAAATCATGGCAAGATCATTAGGAATTGAAGCAACAGGACTCTTTAAACTATTACACACAAGCCAAGTCCACTTTAAATTTGATGCGTTGCAGATAAGTAGCACTACATGGTGACAAGCCGACAAGTTACTATTAATTCATCAGATACAGATACGGTGGAAAAACTCAAATACATTTTCATGCAGGCACTATGGACTACTCTACAACACAGCAGGAGCTAAGTTTGTCTCGAATATTCAGTACATAATGACAATGTATTCTCCAATATATTTTTTATGACACTGGATGACTTTCAGAATTCAGATTAGACGAAAGGCTTTGGGGGCATCTGCAGATTCTCCAACCTCCCTGTTAACATGTTCACCACTTTTGTCATTGAGGGTCGATTTTTTGGGTTCCACTGAATGCACCATAGGGCCACCATGGCTAGCTGTCTCACCTTTTCTTTCTCTCCTCCAGTCATTTCCCTAGAAAGTACCAAGTTCTGCCCAGTGATTACTCTCTCAAAGATCCACTCTGGGAGGTAAACTTCACTTTGGCTATCAACGCTTGGGTCTGAGTTCCTCCTTCCACTTACCATTTCTAACACCAGCATGCCAAAACTGTAAACATCCGACTTGTAGGATACCCCACCAAAATTCCGAGAGTATAACTCTGGTGCAATATATCCCATAGTGCCTCTTGCTGCTGTCAAGGTAACGATGCTTTGATCTCTTGCACACAGTTTTGCTAGGCCAAAGTCTGAGATCTTTGGATTGAAGTTAAAGTCTAGCAAGATGTTGTGAGGTTTGATGTCAAAGTGGAGGATGCGTTTATTGCATCCTTGATGTAGGTATTCCATTCCTCGAGCAATACCTAAAGCAATATCTATCATTTTCTTTGGCGCTAGTAGTTCCTGGGAAATACTAGAATCACGTGAGAATATATATTTTTCCAGTGACTCATTAGGCATGTATTCATAAATAAGGGCACGCCTTGTTCCTTCAGAGCAAAAACCCAGGAGACGCACAATATTTGCATGGTGGATTAGTCCTATGGTTGCAACTTCATTGATGAATTCTTCTCCCTCTCCTGTAGAGTTCTCTAGCATTTTGACTGCCACAGGCACTCCATTTGGTAGCTTGCCTTTGTATACACTCCCAAATCCACCCTGGCCTACTTTTTCCTTAAATCGCCTTGTTATCTTCTTAACTTCAGAGAAGCTGTACCTTGTGGGTTTTGATGTGCCATATGTCTTGAGAAACATTTCGACCTTCAAGTGTATCTCCTCATTATATCTTGTCTTAAGTGAAAGATAGAGTCCAGTGGCCACAATCGACAGAAGAACCACTATTGTGGCAACCGATGATGTAGCTGGCAAGCAGAGAACAGGAAATCATTAACTGTGTCTCGATAGGAAGGCACCACTTGGTGTTGTTAATGGTTCTGGGATAATGTTAAGAGCCATAGTTGAGAAAGATAAGAATTTGTGTGTAATGAATATCCCTTTTTATTTTGGATAAAAGGAATGTTTGATTAGCAGCAGTACCTGCAATTACCTTGACATGTGAACCTGCGAACAGCAAACAAGAAAAATAAGTCTCTATCGATGGTTTAGTATGAAATGATGATTTGTTGAGAAAGAAAAGGTAAGATCCAACATTTTAGTACAATTAGCTGCATGATGTGACCCAGCGTACAGCGTGTACAATAAAAGTTCTGTTTTTTCAAGAATCAACATACTGTATTTGCATGGATATAATGTAAAAGAGTAATGTTCCTTACATGTTTCTAAGCATGTTTGATCACAAGCAAGGTTCCTTAAGAGAAAATGCAAATATCAGAGGCAAGTTTGTGGTGCCATCTCTGGTGATTAACCAGGTTGTACCGTTTTGCCCCAGCCAACTGTAAGCTGCATCCAGCTTGCAATCTCTCTTCAGAACTACCTGGTTTGCTACAGACAACCAATTTCACATTGGTTCTTTATTCATTTGCTTTATGCAGTGTTTGTTCTTTTCTGCTATTATCCCTTCCATTGCCCACCTTATAGGCAGTTATTATCTTGCTAGCATACCACTTTGTGCTTTCGTTGCATTCACTTTCAGCAGTATTACACATCAATTTGTTTTCTCAAGTGTTTCTGTCGATTTTCTTTCTTCAGACAAATTACCCCTTCAAATTCATCTCCCTTTTTCAGGAGCACACATCATTGAAATTTGCAGCTATTTTGGTTGCAGCCTCTACTAGACTACTACTGCTGCTCTAGCATATGGACAAGGAAGGATGTCTGCTAGGATCTTGGATGATGCAAATATATAATCTCAATGTCAAGATGATAAAGCAAAGGTGATAGACCCAAACAATCCTAGCTCAGTTGCCAAGTAACATGTGTTCTAAACTCCCAGCCTAGATAAATTCCATTTATCTGGTAATTTCAATAGTATATGTTGTATTGGAGGTGTTGCTTTGCTTTTATTTTATCTCAGTTATGCATTTTTTTTATCCTTATGAAAATGCTCAACAATAGTACAGTAAATTTTGCATGTAAAAGTTTTTGTCACCAATTGTATATGAAAGCAATGATAGGAGCTCTGCCTTTCAATTATGAAGAAAGCAAATAGAGTTAATTACAAGAGTGTCAAAGGGGCACCTGATAGGCTCCCCAGCCTGCCAGTACACAAGAGAAGAGATAGAGTGCCAAGAAGCAGAAATGGTAAGGCCTTTACAAAGTCCAAGCAAATGCTATCCTTCTCAATGCTAAATCCTCTCAGACTTTATTAGTAACCTGTTGCTCCGTTTGGAGCTCATTGTTAAAAATTCTTATGTTTCACTCTTTCAAGACGTTCCACCAAGTGTTACAAGTGCGTTTTTGGTCTTTGGGTATGGTCCTCACCGTAGCTTACCACCATTTAGCTATGGTGTCAAAATTTTAGTGTAAAATCTGTTGGGCTGCACTGAATTGCTCCCGGTCCGAAAAACCTTCCGCACTTCTTGAGCTTACGGGCAGTGCAAGGGAAGATGAGGCGATCATGTGAATTTCCATTATCCTCTATTCTAGTCATCTAATTTTGAAACTGCATTGTCATAATTATCACATAGGTACAAGTGTGTTCTGTATTTATTTTACATTCTGCTTTACCAATTTAATTCCTTATTTATTTCCCTTTCCATTAATTAATTATTTGAAACATCGTTATATGGGTATTTTTGGCAGTAGTGCCCAACGTACTACATGTAGTGAAGGGTTAGGGTGTTAAAATGCTTGTAAAAATGGGTCTGACTACTTGTATATCAAGTGCATGTTTATAATTTGTCTCTTTTGTGATTTTGATTAGATTGGTTGGCATTAGTTTGCTTGGGTGAGGTTCCCCAACAAATGAGCTGCAGTACTACTCTGTAAAATAAGCTGACAATTATCTACGAAACATCAAAGAATTGCATAGTAGCATTTGAATAGACGTAAATGAATAATGTAAGGAGTTGTAATGTAAGAAACGATAGGACTATGTGGTGCTCCTTAAAAAAAAAGAAAAAAAAAAGATTGAACCATGTGGCTGTATGGTTTTGTCCAATTAGAGATAATACCGTGATTCATGCAGAAGGTTTGATTCCTGTCTGGTCTGAACCCACAGCGTCGCCCACCTCCTTCACACCGTGTGCAGTTGTTTATGATGCCACTGTCATCAGCACTACTATAATCATACCAATTGATCTTTCTCGACCCTGAGAAATTCAGTGTTGTTTCTGCTCGCTCCTTGAATGTTGAATCGTCATTGTGAGTGTCCATCATCAGAAAGTAGGTATCAGGCACAACCTTGCAATCTAATGGAAGCACAGACATGGGTGCATCACCATCCACCAAATAGGAGAAGTGGGATGCGCTGCCAAGGCACGAGATTGGTCCGAAGATGTAATTAGCAGCAAGATTACTTGGTGTGAACTCTCTTAAGCAGCTTACTATCGTTGCATATCCAAGATTGCATAGCAGTGAGCAGGGGTCCGGGGCCTCACATTTGATAATACTGCGAGGTAGGGACGCGGACATGAGCTTCTGCTTGCAGGAGGAAGACGAGTCTTCCACACGCGGGGCGATCGTGAGGGTACCACTCTTGTAGTCTATGGCGGTCACTTTGTACTGGATAACGGCTGCTGGGAGAACCAGAATGGTCTCGTCGCCGGAGCATCCTAGCTTCATGCATGGTGCTCCGCATAATGATGAGGTATTGCTGGATTCGAGCCGGAAAGGGTACCTGATCTCCGGACCATGTTTGCTGCACCGAGATGGTGGGCAGTTGCTGAAGAAGTCAGCATCAGCCCAAGCCATGGCCCCGTACACTCCATCTATGAGAAGACACAACAGCAGGGCTATTACATGAAATTCAGTCATCTCTCTCTTTTTGTTTGTTTCTTTTTTCAGCAGAGCTATGAAACAAGAGCATGCGGAAGAGGATCGGAGGAAATTCTGGAGTAGTGGTTATGTCGATGTGGAGTGGAGGACGTCCAACTCAAACTCATAACTGTAGTAACTGAGAGAAGGAAGAAGAGGCTGAGGAGGTGGAAGCAAATAAGGTGCTCTAAGTTTCCATGAAACTTCCGTGTGCTCAAGTTGACTTAGAGTCAACGCTGCTCAGTCCTGTCTTTGTTGAAGACTTGGAAAGAAAGAAGTTTTGTCCAAGTCAAAAGGCATCTCAAATCATGCCGGGCCTGCTGTGCTTAAATAACTAACTAAAGCTTTTTCTTGACTTTATTTCCGTGACTGCAGATCACAGCTGGTGGGCGAACCAGGGCTTTGCTAGTTTCATGCTCTGGCGTGTCAGATTCTTTGCCATTTAGATTTTCTTTTTTTATCAGAAAATTGTCATCATCGTCTGGTCATCCACATTATTATCGTTCTCGATATGAAAGGGTACCTGATCTCTGGACCATGTTTGCTGAACAGACATGCCGGACACAGCAGCAGAGCTATGATAAGAAATCCACTCAAGCTTCCATATCAATAGTAACTGAGAAAAAGAGGAAGACGTGGAAGTTTTTAAATAAGTCTGTGCAGTTAAATTAGTAAAGACAATTGTATGGCTGAGGAGAAATTCCAAGTTTCCATACAGCCCACTGTTTTCTCGTGGAAAGAAGACCACCAGTCAAAAAATGCGGTGATGCATGTTATTTGACTTGGAGAGTATCTGGTCCAAGTCAAAAACGCATCCTAGTCATGTCAGGCCTGCTGTTCTCAATCAAATAACTAAGCGTCCTTCTCAGCCTGTCCATAACCAATTAACATCCTATCTAGCATTCCTGCATCTAAAATCTCTCATGGCGAACTCGTGTGCAGCATTTCTTCATCCTTCATATTTCTGTGGCTGCAGTTCGGGCTACAGATGCTGGGGACCAAAAAAAATGGATAGACCCTACTCACGTGGGAGCCTCCGGTACTGGGTCTGCCCTTTTTTTATTATTAGGTATAGATAAAGTTCGAAGGGCGGGCCTGGTACAAGCGGTAGAGTCTTACCGCCTGTGACCGGAAGGTCTCAGGTTCGAATTGCGGTCTCCTCGCATTGCACAGGCAAGGGTAAGGCTTGCCACTGATACCCTTCCCCAGACCTCGCATAAAGTGGGAGCTCTCTGTACTGGGTACGCCCTTTAGGTATAGATAAGGTTCGCATAGCCATGAGCAGAGGTCCGAGTCCTTACATTCCATAGTACAACAAGGTAGGGCTGTTGACGTGATCTTCTACCCGCATGAGGGAGAGGAGTCGTCCACACGCGTGGCGAGCCTCTGGGTACCACTCCTATAATCTCTATGGCTGTCACTTTGTACGGGATAGCGGCGCCTGCAGAGGTAACCAGAATGGTGTCGTCGCCAGAGCATCCTAGCTTGATGCATGGTATTTTTGCTCCGCATAACGACGAGATATTTGCTGGATTGGAGCCGGAAAGGGTAAGGGATGGCGGACAGTAGCTGAAGTAGTCCGCGTCATCCCCTGCCATGGCCTTGTACCCTCCATCTTTGAGAAGACACAACAGCAGAGCTAGGACAAGTAATCCAGTCATCTCTTTTAACAGTGCTATGCAGCAAGTTTTTGAGAACTCAAGTTCTTATGGATTAGCTTCAAGGACCGGGCCAAGTTGTCCAGTGGATGAGGAGGAAGTCCGCCAAGGAGTCTGATTGAAAACTTGTTGCCGTGCTCTAGGGAGTCGAGTGCGACTGTAGAGTTAACACAAGCCAGTCCTGTCTCATCAACATTAAATAACTGTGGAAAAAAAGAAGCCCTTCCCTTTGGAAGAGGATTATTTGTTTGACTTGGAAAATATTTTGGTCCAAGTCAAGCAGCATCACAATCATGCAGAAATAACTCATCCAGGTGAGTCTGTGCTCTGCATCGAGTATGAAACCGATTATCTGACATGCTTCTTTGGAATTTATTTATTATCAGATAATTATCCACAACTGTAAATGCAGAGCTATGATAAGAAATTCAGTCATCTCTTTTTTTTTTTGGACAAGACACAGCAGCAAATGCAGAGCTATGATAAGAACTCCGTTCATGCTTCTGTATCAATAGTAACTGAGAGAAG